AGTGACACCAACCAAAGGCGTGAGTACCTACATGAATTTCATGAAATTCTCTCTAAATTAGAAATCTTTAATGTTGGGAGAATACCAGCTTTTGTTACCCGCGCGAGGAAGGGCTTTTTGATATAACCATAGGAAATACTAAAACGAAAACGCTGATAAAAGGATGGAGAGTATCCAATGAACCCTCCGTGTCAGATCATAGAATAATTAGGTTCGGCATTGTAGCAACACATCCTATGCAAAAGGCTTTAGCGATTCCCGTAAAACAGACTGGGAGTAGTTCAAATACCACCTGAGGTTGAACGCAGCCCAACCTGGGCTGTGTCGGAAGATCCGGATCGAAACAGAACTAGAATTTGCTACAGAGAACTTTAATTAATTACTCATTGATTCGTGTGAAGACAGTGGTCCTATAAGTAAGGTACGCTCCTCTAGGGATGTAAATACCCTGGTGGAACAACTAGCCAAGGAAACTCAGAACCAAATTTCGGAAATTATTCAACCAGGCAGAACGAACCGTGGAAGGCTTCTTTCACTCTATAAGGTAATGACAAAAACCTGCAAAAAGCTGTACTTCGTCCGCAAGCTTCGCTGGGGGTGAGGAAGGAAGGATCAAACTTCTCCTAGATACTTACTTCCCAGGATATATACCATATTCCCAGATATATCGGACTGAACATAGTGGGAAAATAAGCAGTTCAACTGGTTGGTGGCTACAGAAAATACTCTGAGCCCCGACTCATGGGGGCGATGAATATCTTTAAACCACTGAAGTCAGCGGGAGTGGATGGGGTATACCCTGGCATGCTACAGCAGGACTTCGAAAGTGTAACTGATATGCCGAGCTATCACACACCATTTTCTATAAGCCCGTTCTATTAAGTAGTTCTTCAGTCGTGGTTCTCAACTATGTAACTTGCTGCTTTGCCAGTCAACTTAGAGTATGTCTACACGCCATAACTATACTTCCTGTGGATTTGTTATGTTCAAGCGCTTTAATACCTGCCTGGCTGCAAGCAGCTTAGGAGAAAAGTCGATGGTACACCTTGCAGCTTCATTGATTTTTGATGGTTCAGCTTGAAAAAAGGCTGCAGAAATTCAGCGACCGAAAACTGATATTGACTAAGAGCCTTTGCCTTACTTCCCAACTTGAGGTCAAATTCTGAGGTATGGCTGTAAAGGGCGCCGCCGTACTTGAATAGCTCAGCTGGCAGGATGTCAGCTCCAGCAGCCTTGTTGTTTTTCAGGTCGCCATGGTAGTTCTTACAGGTGTCCACCCTAGTCTTGAAACCTTATTTTCCTTGAAGCTCACCGTAAACCAACTTATTGGGCCTTATCTGTGTGGCTTTAGACCTAGCATATTCACCATAGAACAGTATTCACAGTACGCCAAATCATGGAAAAGAACCGCAAGAAAAGGATAGCCACTAACCATCTATTTGTCGACTTCAAAGCCGCTTTCGACAGCACTAAAACGCCGCGATGTCTGATTTTGGCATCCCCGCCGCATGACGTTGAGGAATACCACCAGTTTCGTCAGAAATGGGAAAGATCTCTCCGCGCCGTTTCACGACAGAGCGAATCCTTTTCGTCTGATTTCTTTAATCTGAAGTTGAAGAAGATAGTAACAGCCGCAGAATTGAACCGCCCAGGAACATTTTACTACAAGAGCGCGCAATTGCTGGCGTACGCCGATGACATCGACATCATCGGTAACACCGCGCAGTCTTGTCTGCCTTTTCCAAGTTGGATTAGGATGTAAAGCGAATGGGTTTGGTGATAAACGAGGACAAGACGAAGTATCTCCTGCCATCAAAAAATCAGACAGCGCAGAGAGAATTTCGTTTACTTGGGAACTGGAATTAACACCGGTAATAATGTTAGCATCGAAATCCTACGCAGAATCGCTTTGGAACCACACTCTATAAATGTCCACGCTGGTGTATGGAGCATGGAAAATCACATGCTTGCGGAAGATTTACCGACCTGTACGTATTGGCGACGGCGAGTACCGCAGACTGTGGAACGATCAGCTTTATGAACTGTATGAAGTTTACAACGAAATAGACACAGTGCAGCGAATTAGAATACAGCGGCTCCGTTGACTTGGACATGTCCTTCGGATGGACCCCGACGCTCAATCTCAGAGGAAGAGGGAGGGCCCCACTGAGATGGAAAAGCCAAGTGGATAAGGACTTGGCTTCACTTGGCATTTCCAATTGATGTCGTTTGGCACAGAAGAGAAACGACTGGCATGCTTTGTTCAACTCAGCCCAAAGTCGCTGAGGCAGTAACAGCGCTAAATAAGAAAAAGAAGGGTGTAAAGTAGTGCTGCAAAAACATCGACGTTTGAAACTATCGATCTTTCGATGTTTTTTCCAATAAAATATCGATAGTATCGATACTATCGTGTCTTCTTGGGAATTATAACTTTTTGTTTAAAGTTAAAATCCTGATCAATTAACAAACATAGTTTTTGACAACTTACATTTATTATTTTTAAATTATTCATCAAATAAATAAAAAATTAATTTGACTTATGGATTAAGAGATCGATTGGGACTGACAAAATTATTTTTATGAGTAATAACTTCCATAAACACTTATCGGTACGCTTTTGCGTTAAAATTCAGCTAAACTGTTAATATCATGGGACATTTTCACAGACATTAGTTAACTACTATGCTAATGTTAAACCATCATTTTTCATTTCACAGTATCAGTTTGACTAATGGTTGACTGCAGTTAACTAATGTACATCCATTACTAAACCAATAGCTAAAAACAGCTGTTTTTCTAGAGTTAACTAATGACTGGGAAAATGGCCCTATGAGTTTATTACGCTTTAATTTTTATATATCTTGGCTACCCGAACTCAGCAGTGTATAACTTTTCTAATGAAGGCAAATCTTCTAAAACCATCGATAGTAAAAAAAACATCGATGTTTTCAAAAAAATATTAAAACATCGATACTATCGATAGTGCTCCGATGTTTTTGCAGCTCTAGTGTAAAGCGCGAAACAAGAGTGGCAGTAGTTGGTGGCAGGTGAAAAGCTGGCAGTCGACTGGCTGCGCTGCAGTATAATACCGCTTAAAAGGGTAAATAACTATGTACATTGACAGCTAGCCAGGCGGCAATCAGACTTACATGGCCGCTCATAGTAGGATCGTAACTGGCCGAGGAATGCTTGACCCCTGTCTAGATTGTCTCGGATTACTTCAAAATGAGGGTGTTTTGGAGATTTCTAAAATAGTTCCTTAGATTATATGACTTGTTTTAAAAAAGTTCTGTTAACTAGATTGTGGGGACTTGATTTAAGAATATATATAAAAATTTTAATATCAAAGTTTTTATTTTATGAGGAGCATTTAGTGGATGTGTGGTTATTATCGATTTTTTTATGTATCACTTACCTATTTATCTCCACAGCTTCGCGCTGCCTTGCGTAAATCGAATCGTATATCTCATCGCGAACGTGAATATCGAAGTCGTCATTATTTTGTATTTCGGTAATCGTTCGGTAGTCGTCTACGCTTAAAATATCTCGCTGTAACGGAAGTCGAGTGTATTCGGGCGCACGACTTCGTTCCCGTTCCCGATCACGTTCGCGGCTATATTTCTTACTCATCATATTTGTTTGACGGTCGCGCGTTATTGGCATTTCGAAATCGCCTAAAAATATCGTTGAAGTGCCAGCTAACGGTAAAGTGGTCGATTTGACAGCAGGAACAGACGCAGACAAGTTGTCACTTGTGTTCTTGGTATCTACGGCAATTTTGTTGTTGCTGTAATTGGCTGCACTCATTTCTATTGCTGCTGATGCTCCTCCCCTAGTAGAGTTACACTCTTCTATGCTATCCATAAGCGTAGCACCGCTACACAAAAGCGTCCATTGTGTTTTACTACGAGTGACACCTGCCGATATTTTGCTCGCTTGCGACTCGGCAACACTACTACCACGGCGGCGTATTGCTTTATGCGACCCGACATTGTTGAAATTAGAATTGACACTGATTGTGGAAATGCTCGCGCTGTGTGGTGTGTTTGAAGTGTGAGGCGAGTTCTTGTCACGCTCACTTTTCACGTATGACACTGATTCGATTGAACCATTAGCTGCACGTGCGGAATGATTGCGACGCAAAGACGAGTTGCTTACGGCTGTGCGCTCACAATTCAATGACAATTGTTGGGAATCCTGCAGGGAGGTGTGTCGTTTGGCTGTGGCGTGCGGGTGTGTGTGTGTCACAGCATTTGTAGCACAAGCGCCACAATTTGGCCAAAACGAACAGGTGGTTGGAGATTTCAGCAGCGCCTCTTGACGTTTCAAAATGTTTTTTTGTTGCGGTTTCGTTGGCGTCACTGTTGGTAACTGAGTTGTTGGCAAGGATGTTTTTGTTGGTGTGGTAAATCTTTTACTGTCACCCCAATGTGATGTGGAGTAGAAGAACAAGAAGGAGAAAAGAGTTGTATTAAGACGTAGTCAGCGTGCTGTAGAGCACTGGAATTGCATGGGTATAGTGATTGTGGGTTAGTAGTGATGTTGGTGGTGCCGGTGAAGGTGGTCGTGATTTATTTATTTTTTTTTTATGAAGGTGTTAAGCATTTTTCATAATCCTTTGTGAGTACATCTAGGCGATGCTTGTTAGTGATAGAGCAGTGAGTGGTGAGAGTTTTGAGCAACGTGGAGTGAGTGCGACATATGTACATACGTATGCAAACAAAAAGCGCTGGTGTTGTTAGTGGTGAGTTTCGAAAGCGATGACCAGTTGTCATACATAGCGTTAAGGAATGTGGGAAATATATACTTTGTAGAAAATGTTATTATATAACACATTGCTTTTTTTAGGGCAAACTAATTTATTGTGGTTAGTGATGTTAACCGTAGATAACTTTGAAAACGGGTGTTTTTTGGTGTTTGTTAATTATTGCGGTGCATTTAATTGGTGGTTAATTTATGCTTATATTGCTAATATTACTTATTT